CCCCCTGTATATGAACTATCATCTCTCATGACATTCGAAGGTATTTCTCTAGCCCTGTCATCGGTGAGGAGTCGGTAGACTAGGTCCCACGGATTTTCTTCCGGGATCCGCTCTACTCTCTCCTTCAGCCACTCAATTCTAACATTCCCTACCATTCTTTTATACCTATTTCTTTCACTCCTATATTCATTCATTCTTCGTCTCCTTACTTCCTCGTCCCTCGTGCCTTGTGCCTCTCTTCTCAGTCTTCTTACATTTCTACGTCACTATAAAAATATAAAGCGTGATATAGCAAAAACGCATCTGACATGAAATAACAAAGAAAGGTAAATGATAGCTGAACGAAATTTTTTCATTGGTTAATGAAGGCAATTGATGATGGAAAAGGTAAGACATTCCTGATGTCATTAGTTTTTGCTACTGTTCGTGCGAGATCCAACATTGCGCTTGCAGTTGCTTCTTCCGGAATATCAGTCACATTGTTAGAAGGATGCCGTACGGCTCATTCAGCATCAAAATTGCCATTAAATCTTCAAACTGTTGAAGAACCAGCATGTAACATTTCAAAAAACTCCGCAATGGCCAAAGTTTTATCAGAATCGAAAACCATCATATGGGACGAATGCACAATGGCGCACAAACGTGCAATAAAAGCACTTAACCGGACATTGAAAGATCTACGAGACTCGAGATTGTCAGAGAAGATTTCTCTAACAATTACTGACTACCGGTCGACGAATCGAGCAGATTGATTTCATTTCCTCAGAATTTCTGTAACTTTGTCTCATCGAAAGACGAACTTATCAGCAAAGTATTCCCAAACATAATTACTGACTACAAAAATAATGAATGGTTGAGTGAGCGAGCAATTTTAGCCGCTAAGAATAAAGATGTAGATGACCTAAACCACATAATTCAGAATGATATCATTGAAACAATNGATGAATTAAATTACCTGAGCTTATGTTCCCGTTTCTACATTTGAACAAATATTTAGTAACGGGGAGTTATTCAATTCTAATTGATCATTCAGTAAATTACCAGAATTCCTGAATCTATTGTAACATAGATGTAACATATCGTATTCATGATTATCCTCATTTCCTTCTGCTAAAAGGTGGTTTGCAAATGTGGAATAGGTCTTTCTATTTATAGAACTACTTTTATGCTCTTTAGTTCTTTGGAAAAACGTTCTCCCGGTTTGGCCAATATACAGTTTTGGGCAAGAGCCACCAGTCAGCTTATACACTCCCGATCTATCCGACACCAAAGTTTTGTCTTTATTGTTTTTAAAAAATTTACCTAGACTATTATTCGTTCTGTAAGCTTCGTTTACGCATTCTCTCTACAAAAAACGGACAATAATATTGGTTGGTTCACCCAAATATGACAATGCCCTATAACTGACGTTATCCCATCTTGTATTCAGGTAGACCAGGTCCATGGCAACCAGTCCTAGGCAATACGCCTATGCGAGTCAAAGATACGTTGGATTATGTGTATTGGGACTTTGAACCATCATTTATCACAGTGAAGTTTTGGGCAGCTGAATTTAAACGTGACCGAGGAGACGATGAGTGTTCGGAACGTCCAAAAATTGCAATGAACGACGAAAACATTGCCTAAGTTCACCAAATGATGCTGGATGACGAAAGAGAAAGCAGAAGTTATGATCGTGTCAAAAGAAGGAGTTTGACACATATTGAATCAACGGCACCCGAAGAGCTGTCCGAGTATTGGGTGCCGCGTGTGCACACTTTAGACTAAAAACGTATTCGAATGAACATTTCAATAACTCTGTTGTCGCACTTCAAGCGCAGTAAATCCGAGTAGACGAAAATTGGATACGCCATTATACGCCCGAAACAAAGGGGAAACCGGCTTCAAAATGAGCTAGAAACTGGGAAAGTGATGGCGACTGATTTTTGAGATAGGATAGGATATATTCTGATCGATTATCTTCAAAATGGAAAAACCATTACAGCTGCATACTAAGCATCATTACTTGACAAGCTGAAGACAGAACTTGCGGAAAAACAGTCACATTTGCAGAAGGAGAAAATCCTGTTCCACCAAGGCAACGCACTGTTTCACACCTCAGCGGTTTTCATGATGAAAATCCACAAATTACGGTTTTAACTGCTTGATCATCCGCTTTACTCACTGTCGACTTTATCAGCTAGAAGTATCAATATTATTATTTTTATTCGTTGGATATAAGACACATTCCAGAATGGATATGTTTTTGAATTTGTTGAAATAAGAACGGGAAGGCAATTATCGTTTAATTTTCGTTAACCTAACTTCGGGAGTGAATAATTGGACTATGNTAGATTGCAGGCCCATATTAAATTTTTAGGAGGTCGTATGTTATCTGTTGGGAGGTATAATTCTTATAGTACTCAAAACAATTCAATCTGAAAAATATTGTACGGTTCTCCTAAATTTAGATACTGATTTCGACTAGAATATTTTCTAACCAACTGTTGTACAAGAAAAAGGACAGGAAAATAAAAAAAATCGAACTAATGGACGTCCATTAGTCATTGGACTCCACTGCATATATTCTGTATCCTTCTGGATGTTCTGGTCTGCGATTCTCTCAGAATCGTAAGGAGGTGTGGTGGAAGTGGAAGTCACTCATACCTTTGGAATCTAGAAGTACTGAATCCTTTCTTAGAGCTCTTTTTCATTGTATTTTAATTTGAGTGTCCGAAAGGAATCGCTTTCTATCTTTGAATTTGAACCAAGCGAAGTGTGGGAGATGATGGAATTTTTTTATTCGTTTGGAAGATCTATTGATGTCATTATGTGTGGAATGTAACATCGTTCAAATATTCATCACAGCTTTTCTGGGTGGAGCGAATCCGAAACATACAAGTTTCCATGACTCTGGCGCATAAATCAGGATTATTTCAACCGATGGCATCAGATATGTTGGCTTTGAGAACCGCTATTTTTTGTAGCTTATTCGAAAACATCTGCCTCCTGAAAAAACCTCATAACAAAAGTCTGACGGTGTCAATCGTACGATCTCGGTGGCCAGTTCACATCACCTCCACTTGAGATGGCCATGCCCTCAAATGACTCGTGCAGAATATTCAATGTGGCATGAGCTGTGTAGCACGTAGCACCATCCTACTGACACCATATGTCTCTGGTGTCAAGATTTTTCCATTCAGAACAAAAGAACTTGGTAGTCATCGACCTCTGATACTTGCTGTTGAAAGTGATGGTCTGACCAACGTCTTTCCCAAAAAAATATAGAAATATGGATCGATGATGCCGCCAGCCCATAATCCATACCAAACAATAACATTCACGGGATGCATTAGACGCTACTGGATTTCATGTGAAGATCGTTTGTTTGTTTGTATGGAGCAATGTTCTCGAACATACCCTGAAGTTGCTGGATTCCATATAGAAAAGAGCTATCTGCCTGATTGTAGACGCGAACATCACTTGCAACCTTAATAGCCCGGAACATCGAAAAAAGGTTGGGAATTTGTTTCTCTCCTATAGATACTTTCACGGGAAGTGCTCAAGTGACTTGGCACATTCGATTCCACCAAGAGATGTACATATCAGAAATATGCGACGGACTGTGGCTGCTCATCGTTTTGAGGTTGAACTCACTACACCACGAACTTCACTGTTTGAGAACTCTTTCATCTGGAGAACTGCGTTTATGTGGAATAAACTTCATGAGAACGTTTTACCAAATGGATTTAGTCTCCAGCGATTCAAATCCGATGTGAATCGCTACTTTCGCACAGACACCGCTCTGAGAGTGCCTCAAGAATTTTAATTCATTCGTCACAAACAAAAAATTTTGTCCAACAAGGCATTTATCCAAGCTAGCTTAGAGATATGCCACATATGGAAACCTCTAATCAAGCAGAATACGACCAACTCCCGCTAAATGTTCAGCTTCCGCTGAAACCGATGAAGAGGAAAGAGGGGATATGTGAAAGCACTCGAATGACTTATGAATAGTCAGATCTCGAAGGAATGAGTCCATGTAGACGACCTCTTCCGATATAGAAATCCCAGACACTCTGTCGAATGAGGNATGTAATGAAGATGTTCAAATATATCATTAATGTAAATAATAACATTGAGGTACACCACAAGTAATTTCCTGACTAGAGGATAATGTTGAACCATGAAAAACCGCGTGAACTCGTTGAGTTAAATATGATTCGAAAAATTTGTAAGCAATTCCTCTGACAACATAATGTTCAAATTTCTGTAATGATACCTGATGCGAGATGCAGTCAAAAGCTTTACTTAGGTCACATAGAGTGCATATAGTGTTCACTTCTCTCAAAAGCATGGACCACATCGCTCACCAGTTTCGTTACGGCGTGGGTGGTACATCGGTTCTGCCTAAAACCATACTGATTTTCATTCAGAAATTCATTTTCCTCAAAATATTTCGCTAGTCTCTTCTTGACGATAATCTTTATAATTTTTCCAATTATAGGAATAATTGATATAGGAAGATAGTTTTCAGGTGAGTTTAGATTCCCGTTCTTGTGAATTGGAATAATTTTAGATTTTTTAAAGATGTCAAGGAAAAATTCCGTTAATGAAACATAGATATCACACAATGGAAGTCCGAACTAGTGAAATATACAAAAAATTATCGAATACTCATTGTAAATATCATGTTACAATTGGTAATAGATTTTGTGTCAAAAAATGAAAGTAATTCTGTTCATCTGTTTATTGTTCTTGCAAGTTCATCTGTGCCAAAGCAGTGAACCAAATAAAATACTTGACAAATTATGCTCAATGCACAATTTTAGTGAAGTATCAAGTACTTTAGTGCTATTGGCACTGAAACATTTTCAGGAAATTTTCATTTTTTTGAACTGAGAGAAAAAAATGTTTTGGTAAATTCGATCTAATTCGATTTTCTCATAATATTATTCAAATCTGGTATTGAAACGGCGTCAGACTTCCTTGAAATGATCAGCAAGTGAATAAAACAAACGTTGGGGCAATGATAGCTATCAATTTATTCATTCGAGAACGAGAGTAGTTATTAACTGCTATTACCGTGAAAGAATTTGTTGCACCTATGACAGCTATTCACACTCCAAATATGGGCAATTCCAAATCAGCCGTATATGATGAGTCATTTTCATTTACGAAAATCAGCTCCACAGCTTATTTCAACTGGATGATTAGGGACGGATTTGCCCTCGAGAATCATCCGTATCTCTTCAAAAGTCTTTCCTTTAGTTTCCGGTACGAACATTGCAACAAAAAGCGACGTTAAAAATGAGCAACAGCTGAAAATGTAAAAAGGCCAATGGATACCAACTGTTTCTTTCAATTGAAGAAATAGTTGTAGAGCCACTACAGATGACGCAACGTATACTCCATCTGCAGCGGTCAATCCGAAAGCTTTGATTTTTGGGGAGAATATTTCAGCACAGAGTACTGAAGGAACTATTCCTAACCCAAATTTGAACACTGCGGCGTACATCATCACTGAAACTACAGGAATCCAGCTAACTGAATCCACGTTGAAACCCAATAGTTTCAAGTTGAGGAAGGTACCCAGAGATGATAGAGAAATGCCAGTTAGAACACTAGAGAGTATCAGCAGGAACTTTCTGCCAAGATTGTCCATTAGAAGAGCAGCTAAACATGATGCCACCAACATAATAGCAGAAAATATAATAGCAGCTGTCGAAGATTCGATATATATAGATTCAGCACTTTCCAGAATTTCGTGAATATTCATCAAGATCACTTCAAAACTACTCAATTGCTGTGCAGTGTTCAATACGATCATAATGATCAACGATTTCCGGTAGCTGTCAACCAGAAAAAGATCCTTGATGGAAGATTTGTTCTCGTTTCTTTCCGCTTCTATTGCTTCGATCATATCTTTCAGTTCCACTTCAACTTCAGCTGAATTGTCTCGAAATCTGAAAAAAATATGTTTCTTTGAATTCAGTGATGCAAATCGTTATGGAGTGTTATAATGGTACAGTTGAATTTCCAACGAAACTATCGATGACAGGCTAACCATGTTCAATTGAAATTAATATCAGAACTTGTAACTCTTTGGGAACAAAAAATAAAACGAATTTATCACTTGACGAATAAAAATATTTCTGGGTCTGTTTTCTGCATACCAAAATATAATGAACAGTGTAAATTTCACTCCAGATATGATAAGGAACCAAAATGAATATTGATTGAATTGAAGGAGGTTATTTAGGAGATATTATTTATTCCATACATTTTGAATACAGCCGGTTTTCTCACTTCTTCGAAATGATTTCTACGGGAATATACTTGACAAATTCGATACCTCGTCACCGTTCGTCACCATGTTGCCACATGTTTTATCCCGTTCATTTTCTATATTATATGTATGAATTATCTTTTCAATCTTCAAATCTAGCAATGGCACATATTGTTGTTGAAATCTATTTTGAGATACAGTCTACATTGAAAGTCGAAGGAAATTGTTCGATTTTTCTGATTATTCATCGCCAATATATCTAACATACTTATATACAGGGTGTTTCCTACCTACGGTACGAAACTTTGGTGAGTGACTTGTTAGGTTGTTTTAAGAAAAAAATTTCCCATAAACATAAGTCTGGTGTTGTAACGTTTCTGAGATACAGGGAGTTGGAAGTTTTTAGATTAACCAACCAAAAATACAACTTTTTCATTGTTTGTGTTTTCTTCATATCAAGCTTCGTTTTCGGGAAAAATCACTTCTGAAAACTATCCATGGACAACATCAAATAAAAATCAAAAGTAACTGATAAACAATCTCGAACTCAAAGTAAATGAGCAAAATTTCCACCTACTGATAAAATACACGACTGAAATCGATTTTTCATCGATTGTCTGACAAGTTCAAAAATACCTGGAATATTTTTCATGATATTGCAATTGTCAATTATTCGATTCCTCAAGTCATTCACATCTAGTACATGCGTTTTATGAACAAAAGCTTTCAGATGACCCCATGCAAAGAAATCTGGAAGACTCTTATCAGGACTGCGAGCTGGCCAATTTTGAGGTCCTGCACGTCCAATCCAGCGATTAGGGTAGGTGATGTCGAGATGCTGATGAGCAAGAACATCAAAATGAGCAGGAACCCCGTCATGCATAAACCACATGTTGCCTCTTACAAGTACCGGCACTCTTGCTAGTAGCAAAAATGATCCAATTAGGTAGTCACCAATCATTTCTACCCAAACGTTCAGCAAAAATTGTTGCTGAAAATGACTTTCTCTGATAACGTGGGGATTCTCGTCGGCCCAAAAATGGTCATCGTGATAGTTCATTACAGCATCTCGTGAAAAATTCGCTTCGTCCGTGAATAAAATATTTGGTAAAAAATTATTATTGTTTGCCATCGTATGAATCAATCACCTTTATCCAGAGATAGTAGAGCTGTATGTGATATGGATTTAGGTTTCTTTTCAGAACTGTCCATACGGTTTTTGGGTTGACTTTCAGCTGCAGTGCAATCTTCCTAGTACTATTTGTAGGATCTTCATCTATTAGGTATAGAATCTTCTAGTTCAGGCGTTATTACAGTTTCTGTTCTTCCACCACCTGCATTTTTATTAAAACTCCCATTTTCACATAATCGTGTATGTAGCGTTCTAAATGTTTTATCATGTGGAATTACTTCATTAGGATATCTGTCCTGGTAAATTATCCGTGCTTCTTCTGCATTTCCATTTGCTAATCAATAAATGAAGTGCATATCAGCCATTTCAGCGTAAGTAACAATATTCATGATGGAATCACTGCTAATTGACCACTATGACTTTCACTTATATGACAACACTATCACTGTCAGCTGGTTTCCAAAGCAGGTGTTCATGATATGCAAAGTGTCTTCAACGACAAAAAAGTTGTAGTTTAGTTGATTAATCTAAAAAAAAATTAAAAACTACAACAATTTAGTGGCGTACTTTTTTTTCTAATCTTGTTGGCTTTGGTGCCGACTGAGACTCCACTGAATCTAATAATTTTAATCTAGCTAAGGCTCAATAAGCGCCTTATCGCTTCAAATAACTGTAGCAAATTTCAAGGATGTATCTCAGAAACGAAGCAGCTTGGGACCTATGTTGATAGTTGAACTTTTTTCTTGAACCTGCCTAAAGAATCACCCTCTGAAGTTTCGTATCATAGTTAGGAAACACCCTGTTTTCAAAAAAAATATTTTTTCCATCTACGACAGAAGTAATTGTTTCTAACACATCGATATATCCTGAATTTTAGATCAGAATAGAATCTCAAGATGGCCGTTTTGATGCAAAAAATTATAGCGCATCACCGAACTTCGTGAAAAACATAAATTTTTGTGGGAGAAAATTTACAAAACCAAAAAAAAAATCACAATTCATTTTAGTAAAATTTCAGGCAGTGGAAAATTGTTTTCACAGAAGTGACTCTTATAATACACGCAAATTTTGACTAATACTTTTTCAGATAGGTCGCCTAGTTTCAGTGGAAATCGTAAAAAACTGCTTTCTAGCATGAAATGAGCTGGTCATAATTTTTTTCTCTTGAAAAATCATTCGCATTGTGCTATTCTGAAATTTATACGTACATAATATACTGTTTGTCTATATTGTTGTCTTAGATGTTATAAAATGTTCCTTATGTTCTGAGTTTCTTATTCCGGGTTCTTGGTACTTCTCTCTATATTTTTTTAATTCCAAATTGGTTTGAGATTATGATCCAACATATATTGAGATATTTCTTACCACTCTAAACAGTGATAAATAATTTCAAATTTCATTTCTGTCATACATTTTATAAATTAATACCACTATTGGAGTCGAGTTTATACTCGTATTCTTTTATTTAGCAGCTCATTCACAGAGCATGGAAAAATTATTGAGACTTTTTCAAAGATCTTGGTAGTCAATGATATATCAATCATTCTAAATTCACAGGAACCTCCAAAGATAATATCTCTTTCGGTGTTTTCGTTCATCTATTTCCATGGAGAGAAATACATTGTGAATATAAATAATATTATTTTCGATATTATTTTCGCATTTTTTTGAGGAAGGTGATGCTTGAATTTGACTACACTATCAACTCAGAAGTTTTAAAAATCTTTCAGTACCCTGCACTCTCCTCCCATTCAAATAGTGAACCAAAATTGATCACTTTCCATGTTGTTACTCGACTGATTGAAAATGCTGTGGCAATCTTCATTGATTAGCTTCTGTGAATTCAAATTAGCTGGAGAATCAAAAAGCATCTGTACTATTAGCTAAAGTTATTGTTCTTTGGTTTTGTTTTATTTCCTTTCTTTGAATAGTTGGTAGTTACTAAACCTTTACAAGACAAACAAAATCATGAAACATTTTTACCGATTGCAATCAATTCATCGATATCTTCATTGAATATTCGAATCACCAAACTTGTTAGCACTATTTCTATGATTTTTTGTAATATTCACAATTCATTCCATCAGACTTTTGATAAACTCGTAACTATATTCACAAGCAGTTTGGAATCATACAGAAATCATTTTGTATTTTCATATTCAGAGTCTGTATATCTCTGAAAATTAATAGACATATTTTCTGCTCACAAAAAATATCTATGATTTTTGGGTACAAAAATTGGTTTGAAAATATGATCCATATTTTTATTTAATTAAGTGTCTGAGTTGCATTCATAAACTTATTCAGAGTACAATGATCCCACTCTAAATTGATCATAAGCTCATTTCAGTGTACTCAGTGGATGACAGTTTTCCATGTAAGTGAAATTTTACTTTTTTTATTCACTTTATTGTGTAGGAATCCTGTGAATGATATCTGACTCAATTCCATAACGAATGTTTGGAATACAAACTGAATAGAGAGAAGTGTTTTTCGTATGATTCAGTGTTCATATAAAAAGGTATTTGTTTGTAATTTTTTTTTTTTGTGTAATTTAATGTTCATGTGAAATTCGCTGTTTCAAGAGGGCTTTTTTTTCAGTTTGTGTCTGAAAGTTACTTCTTTGCATGATCAACACATCTTTGTATAGGGTTTTTTTAATTGATTGATTCCTTCCTTTCTTTAGAATATTCCCAGTTTTTTGTATAAAGATGTAGAAGTAGAAAGCCGAAACCTTTCCTACCCAAATTGAGATGAAATGTTTACCAATTCAATCTCAAGGTATCTCAATCTCAAGGCAGACAGAATTTTTTCATTTTTTCATTGAGAATTTTTCATTTTCCCAAATTATAGAAAATGTTAGTTATCTTCTTCAGAAAAGCTTCAGTTATTTTAACATAATTATAAGAAACCGAAAAATTAAAACACTTTTTCACTGTGGTGCATGGAAAAAAATAATGAAATAAATTATCTGTATTCATTAAAAATGACAATGACTGGATAAATCACCACAAGTTATGTTCCTTATATCAGAAAAGTCCTATAATAAAATAACTGTAGGAACTTTCTGCCAAGATTGTCCATTAGAAGAGCAGCTAAACATGATGCCACCAACATAATAGCAGAAAATATAATAGCAGCTGTCGAAGATTCAATATATATAGATCCAGCACTCTCCAGAATTTCGTGAATATTCATCAAGATCACTTCAAAACTACTCAATTGCTGTGCAGTGTTCAATACGATCATAATGATCAACGATTTTCGGTAGCTGTTAACCAGAAAAAGATCCTTGATGGAAGATTGGTTCTCGTTTCTTTCCGCTTCTATTGCTTCGATCATATCTTTCAGTTCCACTTCAACTTCAGCTGGATTGTCTCGAAATCTGAAAAAAATATGTTTCAATGATGCAAAACGTTATGGAGTGTTATAATGGTATAGTTGAATTTCCAACGAAACTATCGATGACAGGCTAACCCTGTTCAATTGAAATTGACATCAGAACTTGTGACTCTTTGGGGAAAAAAAATAAAACGAATTTATCACTTGACGAATAAAAATATTTCTGGGTCTGTTTTCTGCATACCAAAATATAATGAACAGTGTAAATTTCACTCTAGATATGATAAAGAACCAAAATGAATATTGATTGAATTGAAGGAGGTTATTTATAGGAGATATTATTTATTCCATACATTTTGAATACAGCCGGTTTTCTCACTTCCTTGAAATGATTTCTACAGGAATATACTTGACAATTTCGATACCCCCCCACCGTTCGTCACCATGTTGCCACATGTTTTATCCCGTTCATTTTCTATATTATATGTATGAATTATCTTTCCAATCTTCAAATCTAGCAATGACACATATTGTTGTTGAAATCTATTTTGGATACAGTCTACATTGGAAGTCGAAGGAAATTGTTCGATTTTTCTGATTATTCATCGCCAATATATCTAACATACTTATATACAGAACTTTTGTTGAATCAACTGAGTTGAATTCTGTCATAATAACTGTTTTGTAAACAATTCGTTGTACTGAACATATCGTTATCCACCTTATTCGTCGTTATTTGTGACTTCTGTAATATCATTGTAACTGTCAACATCATTATTTTCAAAATTCTGGTTTGGAATATGTTCATCACCTTCCAATTCATAATAGTTTCGTGAGGTTGATATATTCAGTGAACCTTACTATCCTCAGATGAAACATCTGCTGAAAGGGTTATTCCTTGGTTATGCCAAAATATGATTTATATGTATTTTGTTGCATTATGTGTATTATATAATGAATGTTCTGATTGATTTGGCCGTTACTTGATGAAGATCCATAGTAATTTCATAAACTACACCTCATGATTTGATCTCCACAAACTTCATTTGAAAAATATATCACGACATGTTTCGCCAACACAGTAGCTTCTTCAACAGTGATTTCAATACTACAAGTTGCTTCTTACGCTAATATTTGTATATCGCAGGTAACTACAATTGGGACCACCTCCATCAAATCACCTAAACCTCTACAATTCTTATATACCTCAGCTATCTCTTCAATTATGAAAACCTGAAGCATATTACCTTACCTCTCAAGTCAAAAATAATAATACTTTCTCGGTTTCATAAGAAAACAAGTTCAATATTGGTAATCTATTCAAATTCAGTTGGTCATTCATTAGAATGTTCGAATTTTTAAGTTCATTAATTTCCGTTACTTCCAAATGATTAAGTTTGAAACCTTTATTTTCTGTGTAAAATGTCCAACTCTTCGTTAAAGATATGATTTTCTTCTATAAAAGATGAAAAAATGTAATGAATGCATCAATGAAATTATTGGTTCTCAATAAATTCCCAAAAGATCAGTTCTCATGATTTTAAGAACTATGAAACCCAAAATTGAGAAAATTTCTATAGAATATAATGGAGCTGTTGGAGGGTTATGAGATATCTGATTTGTTGATGAAACAGAAATAAAATTAGGTCACAGAGTGAATAATAGTTATATGAAATAGTCAATAAATTTAATTCAATTACCTTGATGAAGATATCCTAGCATCCTCATAGCGATTCAAGGTCAACAAATAATAGGGAGATTCTGGCAGGAAAATACATACAACCAGTTCGATGCCCAACAAGCTGATAGCTATCACAGGAGACACAAAATAAGCTAAAAATGGACCGACACTATACATTATTAACACCCCCACCAGCATCATAACGTAACCTATACTGGAGAGAAACCCTCTTATATTTTTGTGAGAAATCTCTGAAATATACATAGGCACTGCAACGAAGGCCATATTCAAACCAGCCCCGCTGAAAAATCTCGCAACGTAGAGATATTCCACTCTGTCTCCCACTGCGATGAGAATCCAACAGACTATCACTGTAGACAGAGCGAACATAAGTGATTTTCTTCTTCCAAATTTACGCACTAGATAGAAGGTATTTGGGAGTCCAACCAATGCGCCAATCAGCATAGAGGTTTCCAGCCAATCGGCAGCGTTCCTTGTCATCTTTATGTGACTTTTCTCGCTCAGAAAGTAAGGGATCATTGGTGCGGTCCATCCTCCTGCCATTCCATCTGTCAAAGCGATCATATTTACTGAAAAATAATTGAAATTAGTGTCGGTGAAATCGATTTTGAATTCGAGTCACTGATTCACGTCCATGATACTGCAAAAGGATCAAAAGACTTTTCCATCTATAAAATCATCTTCCAGCTTTTTTTCGTGAATATGAAATTTTTACCATAAAATCAAATCAATTTTATTTCTTCAAGATAATATAACACTGTATAAGAACAGTCAGGTTGGTTCATCGGTGTAAGATGGAAGGCGAGTCGGACGTACAGTCGATCACTTCTCTCAATGATTGCAATAATTGCAATCGTGAAACAAGTTTTAAAATGTGAAAAGGGTCACAATGTATATCACCCAGGTTGTGCAAAACCAAAAAATATGAAAGTCATCAGCAACAATGTGATAAACTGCTCTGCGAGTACCAAAGCCTGTGCCTTGGATGACCAAGACTAAGACAAGATAGACTTCAATCTATTCAAGTATATAATAAATCAGAAAGACATCGTAATTCGTGAATTACGAGAACAAATATTTTGAATGATCATATAAATCTGTTGAAAGTGGTCAATACAGACATACCTTTCAACACAAAAACCATCTGCTATTAACTCGATAGTTGATACAATATATAATGATGAATCTCACAAGAATTTCGAAAATGCACTCTCGGCTTTTAGAAACAATACTATTGAAATAATATTCTCAACTCTAATGATCATCACATCGTTATAGTACATGAATAATTCGTATAATATTTCCGAAGATGAGTTGCCTGAAGATTGTGAGAAGGCGACTTTTTGCCTTCTGCTGATTCATGGTTCTATGGAAAGTTGGGCTCTCGTCCAACAACAATTATTTTTACAAAATGATATCCATGTTTTTCTGTTAGTTCTTAAATGTTTCGCGTCTGCCTATGTTACGCCTCTTTTTTCCAGTATATGCCCTATTGTCTTTTCTCATATTTTTCTTGGTTTAGCTTTTTTCTTATTCTTCTGGATTCTTGCTTTCCAAACTTTTCTAGTTAGTCTTGTCTTGTCATTCGATACAAGTGTCCCCACCAGTTGAGTTGTCTTTCTTCTACAAATTCTAGTATTGGCTGTACTTCGAGTTCTTTTCTTATGTCCACATTTCTTATACTATCGATTTCCGTAATTCCTTCCACTCGTCTGAGGTATTTCATTTCAAGAGCTTGGATTCTACTTTTTCTGTTCTGTGAATATCCATTATTCACAGCCGTATGTTAACATTGGTCGGTATATGGGTTTAAATACTTTCAGTTCAGTTTTGCGTGGTATCTCTTTTTGTTAATGAATGTTTTATTATTGGCATAGTGAAGTTTCAATGTTTTCTCGATTCTGTTGTTGATATCTGCATCTTGTATTCCCTTCTCATCTGTATAGCTCCAAAATATTTGTTGTTGATATCTGCATCTTGTATTCCCTTCTCATCTGTATAGCTCCAAAATATTTGTACGATATTACATGTTTTATTCTTGTTCCTCTTATTCCTATTCGTATCTATTTTCTATTTTCGTCTATTGTAATTACCTGTGTTTTGTTTTTATTTAACTTCAATCCGTAATCAGTCAATACTTCATTCCATATATCCAAATTTTTTTGTAATTCTTCTTCGCTATCTGCTATGATCACAAAATCGTCTGCAAATGTTCCTTCAGATATTTCTACTCTTTGCAGTTTTCTGTATCCTTCATTTAGGTTTTTTTGGTTCAGTTTTTGGTTTGTTACTAGTTTCATTATGAATATGTGGTCTTTCTCCTTTCTTTCGTTAATCCATTTTGTGCTTCATATAGTGTAGACTCTATTTTTGTTTTATTCTCGTTTTTATAACGCTTAGCGGTGTTAGGACTCTATAATTGTTACAATTTCTCTTTCCTTTTTTATAGAATGTACGATCAGTGCGGTTTGCCAATCGAGAGGTATTTGTTCTTCTCTCTAAACCTTGTTGATTATTGCAAGTAGAATTTCGTGTGCTTTCCGTCCCATACATTAAAGCATTTCCGCTGTTATTTTATCGTTTCCAGGGGCTTTATCATTTTTAAGTGTTTTCATTGTTCCAGTTAGCTCTTCCAGGATCAGATCCTCTGTATTTTCTTGTGTCACTGTTCATATATCTATATTTCTAGCTATTTCAGATTTAGTTTTAAACATTCCCTCAAAATATTATTTCCATCTATTAAGTATGTCTTTCTGTTGTGTAAGTAATTCCTGCCACAAAAAATGTACTGCTAGGTGGACTGCCGATATCACAAACAAAACGAAAGAAAAAAGCATGGAAATATTAGCTGGTCTATAAGACGACAGAAAAATATGATGCGTATAGAAAACAAAGATACAAAAGAAAGAAAATGGTCATGGAATCCAAAAAAGAGACATGGACTAATTTCGGAGAGAAGTGGAAGAAGATAGCGAAGACACCCGAAAACTATTTTATTCAACTCTGAAATCCTTGAGAACAGAGAATTTACCAACAGAATTAACCATCAAGAGTGAAACTGGGGTTTTTTTATCGTTATTAAAATTCAACTCACCAGTAAAAGACAAGAGTGAAACTGGGGTTCTTTTTTTATCGTTATTAAAATGCAACTCACCAGTAAAAGACACAAAAACCTGGAAAAGCGTACCCTTATGAAAAAAGACTTTCTCAATCATTTTATCATATGATGATAATTTGCCACAACAGATTTGAAATCTTTCAATTAACAATTTTCAAGATTCACGAACATTGTTTTTAGATTTAGAGTAACTTTGTGTTTTGTTTACTTTATCATTTTGATGAGATACAAATGAGATTACACCGTGAATGTGAAAGATAATGTTATTTGTCTTATCTCTTACTCGAGGCAATGAAAATATCTATGAAAGGTAATGTTTATTTTTCGTAGTCAGTGCCTATTGAGTTTACTCATGAACCACTTTTATTTTAGTCTGTTCGTGATATATTTCACCAACAGAATGAAAATCAAATATATTATTCACAAACGAAGTTAATTTTTCACAAACGAAGTTGAATGTTACTATGTCAAAATGAAATATTAGCCTCAATGTTTCAAATTTCGTGTAATCTCGCATTTCAATATGATTACACTCATGGATTTTTTTTCGTTAAATCTTGCACAATATTTTATATCTTATACCAGGGGCTATTCATAAAAAAATGTAAATATAACTGGATACTACCGCTTTTCCATATTTATCCCTTTGAGGACGAGTTAACTTTTTATTCAAAAAACTATAATTTTGGATTGTAGGGTATAGTAAAAAGATTGGTAAACAACAATTTTGCAAGAAGAAAATATATTTTTATAATCCTTTTTTCACAATCATTTGGTTCCAAATCATGACCACAAGGAAGCTATGAGAAAAAAAGTTGAATGGAACCAAAAGTAACAAATTCATAGTTGGTGAAATTGAAAAAAAAAACAGTTTGAAGCTTTGGTTATACAGGGTCCAGCGTTGCAGTTGAAGCCATCTAGTACTGTGAGGCTGGGAGCGTGTGCTACAATGTGCACACCTAACCTTTGTATCAAGAACTGGTAAATGTGCAAATTTATCAAATCTTATTTCAGCGGGAGCTGAAACCTTGAATTTATTGGGTATATCTTCTGTAGCCCTTTTGTCTTTCTTAGGCATACTGAGGTCGGCACCAATCAATCCTATAGCAACAGCCAGTCTGAAATCTTTCAGATTCATGCTTCGTGTGTCTGGTGTCCGGTCTCTGAATATTATAAAGGCACTCACTATGGTAAGATCCAAGAAATGCCAGAACAACCTATGCCACCATTTTCTCAATTTTCGGTTCACTTTGTTTAAGGAAACGAACATATCGGATTGATCTACATATTCCATATGGGAATTATAATCTTTTACCAGTTTCAAGCAATCAATATTCCCAGACGAACCATCCTTCTGCTTTCTCGGAACAGTTTGAACATCAGCTGGACTATGGAAATTGCTCAGAAATAAAACTGGTTTATTATCCATCCACTTCAGATAAAATAAACCTTCTTTGCTGAGTGTCCAATCGCATATACCTCTATCAACTTTTGTATTATTATTTACTATATCCATTGGTTCATTTTCGCGTCTTCTTCTTATTGTTCCACAACCATAATTGTTGTCCTTCAGCAAATCATTCAGAAGCGTGACGGAAGTAAAGAAGTTATCGAAAAACACCTTGTGGTGTTTTCTTACAAGTGGACGTGTCAAGTCTTTAACGACTCTAGGACCTAAGCCTTCTTCACCCCCATCAAATTTTCCTGTATAAATCTGAAATCGTGACACAAATGCAGACTGGTCTGCTCTCATCCATATTTTATGGGCCCTCTTGATTGACTTGAGTGGCATATACTGGCGAAATCCTATTATCCCCTTGAATTTCACTATTGATTCGTCGATACTTTGATTTGCGCTGGGCTTGTAACATTTTCCAAAAGTGTCTGACAGTATGTCAAGCATTGATCGTATCTTATACAACTTGTCGAATCCTGTTCCACCTACTTTTGGTTGGAAATCATTATCATTTAGGTGCATATTAGTCAACAGCCAACTGAAACGATCACGAGACATGGAAGACGATATGAAATTATCTCGCATCTACCTTTTGGAAGACCAATATTCACGGTTACTAGGTTTCTTTGTGAGCCCATCATCAGATTTATACCAGGAAAACTTCGTCCGAGTCGGTTAGCAGGAGGCGATTGCCAAATTGCTGTGTAGCATATAAATTGGTTTCGAAAACTATTTTGCCGATAAGTTCTGTTGTGAACAAGCACAGGACTATATCAGTTGAAGTCTCGATATTTTCAGGAATGTTAGGACCAAAATCTTCTATGAATGCCATTGGTTTGTTTGCAAAATTCAAGTTTTTCGTCCACTCTATAGGTTTTTTGACGAAATTTGAAAGTGGTAATTCATCCTCACTATCGTGTTCTGAACTAATACTATCAGTAGGATTATGTTGGACCTCAACAAAATCATCATCATCAAGTATATCTATATCATCCTCAGATGGGGCACCTGAAGTGTAAGAGTCTACCTCTGAAGGTATCTCATCAACCAGAGTACAGGCATCATCCGACGTTACTTTACTCAGGTCCATGTTTGAATAATCTGAAAAAAAATGTTATATAGACAAGCACTTGCAGCCTTGTGGTTCCGTATGGAACCACTCATTTTCATAAGCACAAATACATGTTTTTTTGTATATCCTAGTGATGAAATATATTTCACGAATCAATTCAAACACCTAACGAACATAATATAATAAAACACTGCACTGCACAAATAAAATAATCTGCTGCGCCTGCAGCAGATTATTTTATTTGTGGTATCTATATGGAACCACCTGCTCACAAAGGGTTATAATTCATCCCTCCGCATAGAAATATTTTCTAGTTAGGAAATATTCCTGATAAGCGTAATATTGAAAATTATAGACCTATAAGCAAACTATGTATTGCCAAGAAATTGTTTGAAAAGATTATGCATGAAATTTTTTTAAGTCATACACAAAATAGGATAATAGACATAGTTCTTCCTCTGTAGATTCATTGATACTAATTTAGTAGATTTACAGATTATGTTATAGAGAGTATGAACGATCAGATTCATGTGGATTTGATTAATACGAATTTCAGCAAAGCTTTCGATGAAATAAGTCAAAATTTGATCTTTAACTTTCTATGCATATCCTTTCGGAGCACTTCTTGAGTCCATAACAAGATATTCGTAATGGGAATCCTACATGAATATCCATTTAACGGCCCCGTTTGTGTTGCCTAATAATGGACTCCATCATCCATCATAAACATTCATTGTTGTATATGTTTGATACCATACATCCTTTATACAGAGCTTTTCTTTAATATCCCCCCCTTTATTTTTTGAAGGGGTCAACTCGAAAAATTGAAATTTGGGATGATGAAATTAATGCAACAATACTATATCTTGAAGTTAACCAGAAAAAGATCCTTGATGGAAGATTTGTTCTCGTTTCTTTCCGCTTCTATTGCTTCGATCATATCTTTCAGTTCCACTTCAACTTCAGCTGAATTGTCTCGAAATCTGAAAAAAATATGTTTCTTTGAATTCAGTGATGCAAATCGTTATGGAGTGTTATAATGGTACAGTTGAATTTCCAACGAAACTATCGATGACAGTCTAACCATGTTCAATTGAAATTGACATCAGAACTTGTGACTCTTTCAGGAAAAAAAATAAAAAGAATTTATCACTTGACGAACAAAAATATTTCTGGGTCTGTTTTCTGCATACCAAAATGTAATGAACAGTGTAAATTTCACTCCAGATATGATAGGGAACCAAAATGAATTTCGATTGAATTGAAGGAGGTTATTTATAGGAGAGATTATTTATTCCATACATTTTGAATACAGCCGGTTTTCTCACTTCCTTGAAATGATTTCTACAGGAATATACTTGACAATTTCGATACCTCGTCACCGTTCGTCACCATGTTGCCACATGTTTTATCCCGTTCATTTTCTATATTATATGTATGAATTATCTTTTCAATCTTCAAATCTAGCAATGGCACATATTGTTGTTGAAATCTATTTTGAGATACAGTCTACATTGAAAGTCGAAGGAAATTGTTCGATTTTTCTGATTATTCATCGCCAATATATCTAACATACTTATATACAGGGTGTTTCCTACCTACGGTACGAAACTTTGGTGAGTGACTTGTAAGGTTGTTTTAAGAAAAAAATTTCCCATAAACATAAGTCTGGTGTTGTAACGTTTCTGAGATACAGGGAGTTGGAAGTTTTTAGATTAACCAACCAAAAATACAACTTTTTCATTGTTTGTGTTTTCTTCATATCAAGCTTCGTTTTCGGGAAAAATAACTTCTAAAAACTATCCATGGACAACATCAAATAAAAATCAAAAGTAACTGATAAACAATTTTGAACTCAAAGTATATGAGCAAAATTTCCACCTACTGATCAAATACACGACTGCAATCGATTTTTCATTGATTGTCTGACGAGTTCAAAAATACCTGGAATATTTTTCATGATATTGCAATTGTCAATTATTCGATTCCTTAAGTCATTCACATCTAGTACATGCGTTTTATGAACAAAAGCCTTCAGATGACCCCATACATAGAAATCTGGAAAACTCTTATCAGGACTGCGAGCTGGCCAATTTTGAGGTCCTGCACGTCCAATCCAGCGATTAGGGTAGGTGATATCGGGATGCTGATGAGCAAGAACACCAAAATGAGCTTGAGCCCGATCGTGCATAAACCACTTATAAGTACCGGCACTTCTTTTAACAAAAAGGGTAAATCATGTCGCAAAAGTCCGTGAAGGATTCACCTGTTACTCTTACTAGTAGAAAAAATGATCCAATTAGGTAGTTACCAATCATTTCTACCCAAACGTTCAGCAAAAATTGTTGCTGAAAATGACTTTCTCTGATAACGTGGGGATTCTCGTCGGCCCAAAAATGGTCATCGTGATAGTTCATTACAGCATCTCGTGAAAAATTCGCTTCGTCTGTGAATAAAATATTTGGTGAAAAATTATTATTGTTTGCCATCGTATGAATCAATCACCTTTATCCAGAGATAGTAGAGCTGTATGTGATATGGATATGGAAGGTTTCTTTTCAGAACTGTCCATACGGTTTTTGGGCTGACTTTCAGCTGCAGTGCAATCTTCCTAGTACTATTTGTAGGATCTTCATCTATCAGGTATAGTATCTTCTAGTTCAGGCGTTATTAGTTTCTGTTCTTCCACCACCTGCATTTTTATTAA